AATCAAGACTGTGTCAAATTCTTGTTACTACTGTTTGTGTGAGCACAGTTTTCAAATGCTATGACAAGCTCTCCTGTCCATATCATAGTCTAACTTAGGGAGGGAGGATATATCAGGATGAAACATGGCTAACAGCCTCTGTCAGTGGGTCAGTGGGTCACACTATATACACAAGGTCTCTCTCTTACTCCATCTTTCACTGATAAATGTTTATAGAAACAATGATGCCAGGAAACAAATTAAATCAATCAATCAATCCCATTCTTCCCAAATGACTGGTTATGATAAACTTTAAATGCTGCCAGTTAAAGACAACCTTTTTGAATTTAACCCTATTGCTCAGAATTAAAATGTAAGTATATCAAACTTACCATATATGTCAACTTGGAGTTGCTGATATCTATTTACAGTGACTGCAGTTCAGACATGCTAAATATAGCAAAGCTTATAAGGACAGATGTTAAAAACATGTATCTGGTATTGTGGTGTGTGTAAATGTATACATGTCAGTCTGATGTTAGAACAATAAATATAGTGTAGTAGTAAATAGTAGTTTAGTGTATGATTGTGTGTAAGAGGAAGGCGTTTGTGTGTCGGGGCAGTGTAAAGTGACTGCGAGGTCAATGCGGCGACAATTAATGGGCAAATGGATGTAACAAATGTGACCTCTGGCCTCTGCAAACAGCAACAGTCTGGAAATGAACTCAGGCTTCCTGTCGCCACCCTGGTGAGGAGGAAATGTAGGGAACAGAGTTTATGAATACACAACTGTATGTATGAGACACTTTCTACACTTGCTGTGAGGCCCAGGATGTCAGACCACCGCTCACAGATTAGAAGGTTTACATCCAGCTAAGAGTTGACTGCTCCTCAGAACAAACACCTCAGAGTTCCTATGATATGCATTAAATATGAATATAGCAGTGAGAACAAATCTCTTGGTGTCTGTTTTCTGTTCCTTCATTTATTCCGTTCAGATAATACCATAACCCCAAGTCAACATAGTATCCAGATCAATTACTTAAAATGAACAAT